TTTGTTTTAATGGCCAGACAGAACATTTTGTCAGGAAATTGAAAACGTATATTGATTCTATAGCTGTTTCAACTTTTAGGGAAGTGAAGAGGGGAGTAGATACTTTTTTACTGCAATATAAAAAATGTTAAACATTCTGTAACGACAGAAATTTCATCAAATCTATTAGAAAGAAGGATTCCTCGTTACAATATGGAGTGTTTTAAGTCTGAAAAAGTTATATATCATCGTAGAAATGGTCTTCAAACAACCACGAGGACTGTGGTGAAGAATAATGGGAAATCTCTGGTGCGAGTCCTAGATATCAATGATTTGAATATACACGACTGTTATGTTGATCACGTACAATTCCAGGAACCATACAAGTCTGTCTCGATTACGGCTGTTAATTCAAATAACAATGCGTACATTCTAGATAATACATAGCTTATGTTCAATACACTACCAGACAGGTACATGATGAAATTAAAGAGAAGATATACAAACGGTTACAAAATACTCATGATATTCAACTAGCCACCCTTTGATGAATGGTCATTATTAAGTAATTAAACCTATCTCTATCCAACCTCAGTAACTCCTTCTGAAGCGTCTTTGAGGCTACTTGTGGTCCTGATTCCATATAAAGGAGGAGGTTGTGGTATGAGGTTAGCGACCCCATCCCGTAGAAAGCTAACTCGCTAAAAAACGTTGACTAGAAGAAATAGTTCAAACTATTTAAAATCTGCTTAGTGAAACACATTTGGCGCATGGTGGACAACAACGACTAGCTTCAAGGGCGCTTCTGTCATACTCCGGCCATGAAGAAGAAAATGTCTCAATTACACAAGGAATTGCATTGATGCTATCCCACAAGCACAAAAGGCACTTATAGGATGGGAATCTCATGGACCAAGGATCATCAAAGCCTCCTTCAAAACAAGGAAAGATGGCATTACAATGGATGTCATCCAATTCTATGTGCCCACCAACGACTTCAATAAAGACGTTAAAGATCAATTCTACGATAGGCTGCAGTCAATCGTCGAGAAGTCCCCGACAAAGAACTTGACCATTCTGATGGGGGACCTAAATACCAAAGTCGGGATGAACAACACCGGATATGAAGACATAATGGGATGATATGCACTGATTGGCAGAAAGGGACGAAAGTGATGAGAGATTTGCAAACCTATGTGCCTTCAATTAACACAGAATCAAATCGACCATAACTGCACCAACCAAAAATTCAGGAGGAAGATGGAGGATGTAAGAACCAGGAGAGGAGCTGATATAGTGTCAAATCATCACTTGACGGTCATCAAGTGATGATCGGTATCGGAAAAGACTGATTACTTCCTCCTTTTTTCTTTCCTCTCGTGGTTGATTTGATTATGAAGACCTCTACATTTGAGTGGGGAGCACGGAATACAATGGATGGCTTAAGTGCAGTTGGATGATTTGAACTTTTCAGATGAACTTTCCCCTCCATTTCATACACACGAACAATTGCAAGTCAAGACAACTAGTGTAGCACCCGCGTCAGCATCAGTAGGCCTCAACACAAACAAGAGAATAAACAAGATTCTGGAATACAATACGGAGAATGCCAAGCAAACCACAGTTTATGGGTAAGTTCTGGAAGAGTTGAAAGGTTTCACCTAAGCGAGAAGCATCATCGATGAATAAGGATTCGATACAGACGTAAAGGCAAGGATTGGCAAAGCAATGATAACATCCTTACAATTGAAGGACATATGGAACTCATCTGTCAACCAATATCAAAGTCGGAATCTTTAACACGAATACCAAGATAATTCTACTGTATGGAGCTGAAAATTGGAGGAATACCGCACCTATTATCAAAGACGTACACGTATTTATGAACAGCTGTCTACGCAAGATACTCAATGTCTATTGGTTGGATATCATCAGCATCAGACTACTGTGGGAGAGAAAAACCAGTCTTCAGATGATGAGGGAATTAAGAAATGATGCTGGAAGTGGATAGGATATACATTTCAGAAGTCACCAAGCTGTATCACGAGGCAGGTGCTGACATTTTATCCTGAAGGGAAAAAGAAAAAGTGAAGGAAAAAGAACATATGGCGTTGAGAATCGGAAGCAAACATGAAAAGGATAAACAGAAACTAGAAAAAACCTATAAAGATTACCCAGGACAGAGTTGGATTGAGATTACTTTTGGGCGGCTTATGTTCCTCTATGTGCGGTAATAAGAGTAATTTTATGTTCTTCGGACTAGACGGTTTAGTCAAGTAGCATCAAATCTCCATTTTGCTCATCCTGCTGAATGAGTAAACCAATGGATTGACAGAATATGACACCTATATCCTCATCCATTGCTACAGATACTTCCGATCATCATTTTACTTAACTAATATTCTAGAGAATTCACTAACTCAGAGTAAACTAAGCAATATGACTCAACTTATACTAAGTCCTCCAGTCTGTTTGATCTTGAGGTTTTAAATGAAGTTTTCTTTAATACGTAGTGTTGACTATTTATATTACTCTATACATGATAGTTTCATTCTAAGTTTCACAGAGGATTTGCAAAACAGTTTGGCAACGATAAGCAAATTCTTTTCTAGTATTTTTTAATGGAGGATTTTGAAAGTTATTAAGACATTTTGGTAAAAATAGTGTCGAACGGCATATCAAACAAACTTGTAATTCGGTTTTATGATGTCAGTATATATCCGGCTTTTTAAAAAGTTACAAATGACTAAATCGTATTCCCGTGCAATTTCGTATTTCCAAGTGAGTTTATTTATTTGTCTGAGATGGCAGTGCATGAACTAACCGTTACTTTTGTGATCGTGAAAATATAATACCCATTATAATGATTACCATGCTGTTAAGTTGACTCGCCACTACTTATTTGGTGTTGATTTTATACTAAATTCTAAGAACTGGATATTGATATAGAGCCCTGATGGAGAATTAATTGGGAAGAAATAATTCTTTACTTATCGTGTATTTTGATTTTCTTAATGAGAATATTTGGTTAATCAACAGTAATTGATCTATTTTAAGCAAAACATATTTGATGAACAATAGAATGGTGTAGATCGGCCGTGTATCCTTTACAATTGAAAATTCAACAGATTAAAAGAAACTAGGATGTATCACACAACTCAGCACAAACAAGTCAGTCTAATAAAACTACCTTGGGTGTTGTAAAATGATGATTTGGGAGGATGAAATAAATATAATATTTTTATATTCATTTGTAACACTTTAAATGCAACCACATTGATAATCAGTATAAATAGTTTCTCTGTATCTTGCACTGTGTTAGAGTTTTGAAGCGTAATAGTATTCAACGACACTATCAGATTTTTTTCCAGTCGTAAAAGCCATGAAGTGCAAACAAACTTTTGTTGATCAAGCGAGTTCATTTTTGTTTGTGATCTCAGAAGGAGCTCACAAGTAACATTCATTTCATAACGATTCTTTTCACTTTGTTGTTTAATGAACCATTTAGTTGTAAGTGACATTTGTGACCGGTTTGCTTTATTCATAAACGGACACCTCAATTTGAACTGTTAATACTCTTTTTGGTATGTCATTAGTAACTGAGCACATTGTCACATGTTGTGTAATTTTTTAAAGTGGGATCCACTGCAAATGTGACAGTCAAATGCTCCTTCAAGTCTTATATTCCGAAATCAGCATGCAATTTCGTGGATTCTTGCGGCATTCGTGCGAACAAGTGATTTTTTTATACCGAATTACCAATCCATTACGAATTCACAATGCAGTAAGTTCGTTCATGCTCATTTATTTCCGTTTAGCTCAAATTGCACAATTTCGGGGATTCTTAGTTGGTACGATAATTCGGATACTTCTAATAATCGTAATTTTACATGTCTGTTTCAAATAACATATGTAGTTTTACACATAGGAGTTCACCATAAGTAAACAATTTTCCAGAATTAAACGGTTTTACCTATGAGATAAATTACTGGTTAACTTTGGGGAAGTCACTCGATAAATGAATAGTTAAACCTAAGAATTGGAGAATCAACTCTGTTGTTTGTTTGATTGAATATGTCTGTATGTTAGGCACCTTCTGCGGATTAAAGGACAAAACATCCATATCATGATAAATTATAAATGCTAACTTGTAAAGAGGAGCTTACAAATTTCTGGTTTGCTATCTATTAATTTTCATTTTAGGTGTCCGTTCTTTTCTAGCTCGTACTACATTCTGTATTAACGATAAAATACTGTACTGAAAAAATGAGGACGATTTTCTCAATACCACTTTCTTCTATCCTTGCTTTTGACTAGAACGCATCCGTGTTTATTTTGCGTCTCTTGACTGGTTCTCCATGCGGTTAAACGGCCACCTTGTTCCTTACAGAGACAATTAATTTATACTTGAATAATGGTTGCACTAAATTTTCATTGTGATAAAACATATAGGCATCCACAGATATAGTGTGGTATACATTTTTTCTAACCAGATTTCTCCAGCTAGCAGAACATACGATGTATCCGTATCGTCTTCAGAGATTTTAAACCATCTCTCCATGTGAACTTTCCTAAACCCTTTTTATAGACCAAATACTGCCTTACAATTGGTTAACGTGGAACGCAAACAACTTTATTTGATAGATGTGAAACGCGATAGGGCGACTGTATAAGAATCGCATATAATCAATGTTTTCGTTTTAAATGATTATAAAATGGATAGGTGAAGCTCCTTATTATCAGGTTTCGGCGTCTCTTTCACTCCATTGTTTGCTCTTTGGGACCTACGTTAATGAGAACATATAGAAATGAGTTAATTATGAGTTGTTAATCGTGAATTGTACATGAAGCCGGCAAGTGAGAAAAATTTAAACCGGAGGGTCACAGATATTTTACGATGGCCAACACTTACCATTGAGAAACTTATTTGAAACAACTGAATTTAAGTGACGCAACAAGGTTTCACAAAGACATCTGTCTAATTAAGGAATGTTTTAAATACGCAGTGAGTTGTTTTCATCACTTCATGCAACTGTTTTGCGGATCTTTCAAAAGTGTTCGTCACAGCTGACGTCCTCTTCCTTTGTTGATATTTTACGATACGGCTACAGGACCTGTATGCTTATATTAAGATAGTAAACTAAAAAGGCATAATACGTGTCAACTTAGTTTTCACTAAAACGTTTTAACAAAGAATTCTTTGCAAACGTGATCAAAAAAATGACAGCTCAACCAGAATCATTTCAATTCAGTCCTCAATGGATTAGGGAATTATCAGATGATGCATTTAACTCTAGAAGACAACCAAGTCATAGTCCAACCGAAGGTCGGGTTTCCAGCAAGTCTCCCAACCTGTTCTCAAACTTCGTCCAGAAACATTCTAATTTTTCTGTCCCCGGGGATAAACGAAAAGGTTCTCTTCTAAATTCGTTGACTGTTTCTTTGTTAGATACGGTTGTAGGTAAAGTTTCGAAACTTGTGTGGCCAGGTGACACCATTTGCGCTCCTTCTGTAGCTGAAACGGACAGGCACGTTTCTGTTATAAACGTACTATATTTATGTTGTTATTTAACATGAAATGAGATCAGGGTTTGGGGTTAGTAACGTAAGCATTTTTAATACATACAGATTGAGCTCGATCTATCACAGTTTATTCTTTATATCAAGAAATCTGATTTCAACACGATCTGTTGTATATCTCTTATGTAAATCATGTTATGACACCTTTTATTCTCCATAGTGCTTATTATATCCTGTCCTGTCCCTATTATTCTTTTATGGAAAGAAATATATGATAGTGCATTCCTGGTGGTTTTTCCGTCCTAAAGGTTTCTTTGCAAGTTTCATTAAATGATTGTAAAGTTAAGAATTTAGGATAATGTTATACAGACCCTACGAACTTTAATTTACCTATTCAGCTTGTCCATCCTTCCACTTAAAATACACTTAAGCGTACTGCTTTAAGTTTTCTCCCTGATTATTTCAGTTTAGTCATTAATACCTTAACGATTGTCGTTCCAAACCCAGATATCCTACATGGATTATAGTGCAGTAGGACACCAAAATCATAAAGCAATACCAAAAAACTGAAAATATTATAAAATAGAGAAAATGGGAAAGTGCCGTACAATTGGTCAATAAGTGAATGACAATATAATTGAAAAGACAGCCAAGAAGATCCACTCACCTAAAAGGGTCTTTCTCATCTCTGTGGATTTTGTAATACGAAATCATGAAAAGACTCCCCTGTGTTTTCCCCCAAGACATAATATCGTCTCGTTGGGTTTTACTCCTTATTGTGACAAGTAAAAATTGGCTACAGTTACATCTTCCTTTTAGTATTAAGCTTGTTATTTAGTAGTTTTCTTTTCTGTTCTGAATTACACTTCATGTATTAGGTTTTTCATGCTCGTATGCGTTTATCATTTTGGTGTTTTCTACAACTTTTTCTTCATCCTAAGAGAGAATGTAGCAACTTGAACCCTTATTTATTTAATCTGAATCTTGCTTCATATCTTTTCCGACCTGTTTCACAGTCAAGGACAACCTTCCACAGAGGTGACCAAACAGTACTCACACTGCATACAGTTTTCTGATTCTATATATGGTCAAAAATCCAATGCCAATCAAGTCATCAATCCTGCTAGCCATTGTGTTGATACCAACAAACAAGCAATGCAATGGACTCAGAAGTCCTCTATAATTTCTCCTTCCGAACCGTGTTGGCAACTCCACTCAGACTCCGGCATTGAAACTTCCGTAAGTGTGCATTTGTTTTTTAAAGAGTTTTGTAGTTTTGGGCTGATTCATACTTCCACCAGTTTAAACAACCCTGGGAAATTTGTGATCTATTGTTTTAAGGAGTACACGTGGTTCTCTGCAAATGCATTTTCTATAGCACTTGCACTTGTTAACTCTTCTCTGTGATGCATACTTTTCATTTGTAAATTTCTGGGACTCTTATTCTGTGACTATATGTTATCCCAAACTGTTATTCTCTCCGTTTCTATTAAAGGGGAATAACAAACAGTATTATTTTAGAAACTTCATTTTTGGTTAATTTTTAAAATATGATATTACCGCAGAGTGGAACTTAAAATCTGGTTATGCGAGGATTCGTTGAAGTAAGTTATCGATACGTAGTAGATTAGCGTTTTCTTCCAACAAATTGTGCTTTATTTAATGGGACTGGTCGTGCTACACGAACCCCCAAACCCAAATAAGTGGGATGGAGTTCGGACCCGAAAGTTATTTGCTGAAAGTCGAGTGCCTTAACCGTCGACTCGCCGCTCCACCTCGTGTTGGTAACTACCATTAATAGTTGCTTTTTGAATATAATTGATTAATACATAGAATTATTTCGAATGGCTTTTGTTTTGTAGTTTAATTTTTATGGTGCTATAGTCACTAGTGTGTGTGTGTGTGTAGTGTTTAATATTGTCTCTGTATTTAGCTTACATGGCTTTGCACTCCTAAGATGGTTTCATGGGAATTTAAAAGTAATGGTGTATATAGTTTCATCTATTTGCTAGTAGCATACAGTTTTGACTTGACTGATCATTTTCAACCGAAACTAATCAAGATATAATGAAAATTGCCAAAGGACAATTGATTCGTCTATTTTCAGAGTGGTCCGTGATTTGGAATATTCTAGTATGTTTCAGTAGTCTTAATAGTTATGCGAAAAATCAATTTGAATCAGACAGCACAATTTTAAGTGTGAATTTTAAATTATGTAACGATCAGAAAGCGTTTTGAATAAATCTGCGGTTTTTATATCTATTTGAGCGAAATTTACTGATTTTTTTTTCCAGGTTAATAAAGTATCAGATACAATAGGCCTGAATACAACAGGTCATTCTTTACCTTCATCGAGTGCCCGACCTCTCGAAGTGCAGCACGTAGGAGGTTCTCTCTTATCAGGAAATTCGTCAGTTGTAAGCAACCCAACGTTGAATATAAATTCTATTTTACCTAATGATGGTATCCCAGTTCCCCGATCAGATCCATATAGTCACAATAATAATGATTCGTATAATAATCAGAGTAAACGGGCTGTCAGTGCTTATTATGGAATCAATGATCCAGACAAGGTATCAATTTGCGTTTTACGATTACTTTTACTTAAATTCGAGCAATTTCATTCTAATAAAACAGCTTCAGTTAAACGAACTTAATAAATCACAACAATGCTTGAATTGATTTGTCACTTGTGCGACAAACATTGGGACACACTCTATAAACCACTGTTAGATGTACAAATCAAAGCAATAAGCATTGATGTTGTTCGGTCCACAAAGATAACTTGACTGTCGTGTCATCCGAATGATTTTCAAGTCTGCTTTACAGTGCTTCATGGAATGCTTGTAGTGTTGATATTGGGTGTGTATAATTCATTTATCATAAGCGACCATGTACTAAAATGTAGTTGAAAACTTTCTATACTTGTCTATTTGGAAAAGAACTTTAGAAGAAATACCATAGAAACAAGATATGGGATTCTGTAGCAAAATTTGTTTTGATTAGCGATAGTGAAAAAAAGCTTTATCGACAAATCCGATTGATGCTTTTTTAGACCTGATGGTAAGGACACTATCGTCAAAGTAGCTTAAACTTGTTTCTTGTAATTGTACTGATAAGTACTTTGTCTTCATTGAGGTTATCTTGAAAACTCGTCAATGCTTCAAAATGTTACTGCAACATCACAAGCAAACATTCTATCAGTTTTCCAAGGTAGTAATATTAGTAACTTGTTTATCAATAACAGGGTTATTTACTGATTTTCGAACTACACGTTTTGTGCGATGGCTAGTGGTAGGTAACACAGGAATTGAAACTGCAACCTCTATCGTTGAAAGCCACGTGCTTCGAACAATGAACTACCACTTTCAAAGTCATGTAAATACTATATTAACAACTCACTTGACTCCCTTTCCTTGAGATACGAAAGCTGTAATGATCATCCTTCTCTTAACTGTGACTTAACTGAAATTTATGTTTATCGTTTTGTGTATCGAATTTCGTTAAATTCATCGACGTATTAGTACTACTTCCTCGACTGTGTTACCTTGAATACAAAGTATAAATCTTAAATAAATTAAATTGTACTATCATATTTCAGTTTCTACGTTCAGTCGACAGCTTCATAACACGTTTTGGGATGATTTCTGCTTTTTCTTCTGTATTGTCATGACTAATTTATCTCACTGGATTTCTTAACAAATTGTGTTATAGACCTTAGATTCCAGTGTAAATTCAAACGCTATATGGATGCAGCAACATATATGGTCAAAGTCTGTTCCACAGCACTTACATGGCTTTAACCCTATTGATTCCACCTCCAACTCCGTATCCAACTTCTGTGGAGTTGCCGCTACAGAAACTAATAGACATTCTAGCTGCAGCGTTCCTGACGCCGAAAACATACATGGTTTCTTTTCACAATTATCTTCATTTGATCGACTTGTTCAATCAAATTCAAGTCAAGCGTATCCGTTGGTAAGGGAATACATGGACAGTAATATGTCGAGAGTTAAATGCACATTACGCTTTTGATATTTGCTTGTATATTTAGTCATATCCCTGTTTGATGTGTTTTGAAATATGTGTTATTTAACTTTTGGAATTAGGGTAGGTCTTAAATTTATGCGTTGCAACGATTGTAAGTATTTGGTGAACATCCTACAAAATTTTGACCGAGATTTTCAAAGATGAAACGGACTATGTTAGAACTATTTTATTATTGTCTTCTCCCCATTTCTTTCATTGGTCCAGATTCTTACTTCTCTGTGATTTGATCACTTGGTATGTTAAGGTTTAAAATCCATGTATACTAGTTGTACTTTGAAAAGTCCATACTATTTCTGTACACTTGTGAATTTGAAAAAGTCTTACTAAATATTGATTTCACACATTTTTTAGTTTCATTTGCAACATTTTGTATGAAACTGGTTTTTTCTATCTGAAGTTACTACAACCTCTGGTAATATACTGATATGAACAAAACATGCAGATACATATCTGTATTATAAACCGTAAAATAATTTTTCGTATTCCACTGAATATTAAAAATATCTCTGTAGAACAATCTTATCATGGATGATATTCATATTTCGTGTTGCTTGTCATCGAATGATTTCTGTGGATCTGTAAAACGACGTACCCTAGTAAATTTTACTAATCTGCTTTAGTTCTATGAGTGTACCTGTTTTTGTGCTCATTACTCACTGAACGATAATGTTTACAGTTGTGCACACAGACCATAAGATAAACTTTTACTCTTTTTCAAACTATTTACAAGTTCTTCGACCAGCCTGTTAGCTATTTAGTATCATAGAATGTTCTACATTTCAACGTTGATATTTGTAATTATATTTTTTCATATGTATGGAGATTTTTTTAATCCGTTGGTAGTCAGTGTCCGTAATTATAGCATGTAGTATTCACATTCCAAATTCATACACGCTTTGTGGTAAGCTTTTAGTAGTCGAAAAGCTCGTGTATGTGGGTGGCTGTGCAAGTCCTATCGAGACCAAAGAGGCTTATCCCAGTTTGGTCCATCTTTGGATCTGTCGTGTTGTTGATCTTGCTGCAAAAGTTTTACGTGTTGGTGAAAACGTTTCTTCTTTAGGTTTTTGAGACCTGACATTTTGAAGTTCAGTTTATTCGACCACTCTTTGTGCTCGATCATCGTTCTTTTAATGATCACCGGCATCAAGTGGCAAAACCATGTTAGTATTCTCGTGGTTTGACGTGCGTGCTCAGAAAGTGGCGATAGTTTAGTTAGTGTCGCTACACTGTGTAACATTGACGTGTGGCATGGACATGTGTTACGAATGTCATCCTAGCAGCTTCTAAATCCTGCTTTATTTACCAACACTGAGACAGGGTATAAAGAAGCTTTTGACATGGTGCCGTGGTGTGAAAGGTAGCTGTATGAGCCTGTCATCTATCGGTTCATCGAAATTTTGGGATCTAGGTGGTGTAACTCAGCGGCCTGCTCGTTACAAAAACCATTGATAATCCTATTGTAGTCTTTTCTCTTACACTCTTCATAAAAATGAAGGGAATTTTCATTAACTGAAAAGGATCTGTTTTATTGCTAGGTGAACTGTGTCTTCTGTCAAAATTTCTTGTCGAATTTTCATTTTCGATTGTACTCCCTTTCCTTCATTTCTTCCTTCACAAAGTTTTTATAGCCTAATATACTTCTGATGCTCAGGTTTCATGTTTTTTAATTATAAATTTTACCATTTTGTTTTGCATTTTAGTCGAATAGCAGTGTTCAACATCCTCCTAATATACTGAGCGCAGAGAAAGGTTTCGTTAGACGTAATGGATCTGACCAGTCGGATGAGCATATGTGGCTGTATGAAGATCCACAGGGTCGGACACAAGGTACTTTCAGTGATGCACAAATGAATGAATGGCTTATGGCTGGGATTTACTTTACTCCAAATCTTCGTATACGACGTCAATGTGATGATACATTTTCTACTCTCGGTAAGATGTCTCACTCTTCAAAACCATTCAATTTGTTATGCATCGGTTAAAGTACTTTTGGATATAAAATGGTTAGTGTTTTAAACACTGTAATGCTTTTACACGTAGGGTTCAATTCATTAGTAAGTTAAGAGTATTTTTATTTGTTAATTTTCAGCATATATTTGTTGTGGATCAGGTGTACTGTGATTTGATGGACGGACTTTTGATCGTCAATATGAAAGCAGAATGTTGACCGATATGAAGTACACAGTGACATGTTGTGGTTAAGTGATGATTGCTCACGAGACCGATTTAATTATGTAAACTCTCAAGTGATTTGAAGTCAAAGACAAGACCAACAGTCAGGAGAATAACTTTTTTACATAACAGAATGATATACCACAACATATTAGAGCAAATTAAAATATCATAGGCTATTGGACGGAATAGGTTTATAGATCACTCACTCGCCAATCAGTCTGGACCTAATTCCGAGGCTCGATTCTTGGGTATGGTACGAATACTTCAAAATAATCCAAAGGATGATGAACCAGTAGAGATGTCATTTTTCAGATTTTTACAGGAGAGTGTATTTGGAAAATCATTTTTCAACTTAATAGTTGTACTCGGAAAGTTTTAGAATATACATTAATATGAGTTCGAACTCGTTTGTTTTTACTTTTAGGTATTATTTAAAGGTCAGAACACAAAGCTGACTGAAAAATAAACTTTTTTCTTTTCGACCAGTTTTCCTTTTTCGACTACAATATGTTGTGTGTTTAAAATACTCTGTTAGGCTGTTCATGGTTATCAGTTAGTTCATCTAACCCTAATAATGAATCGCAATAAAAATTCCATGTAAATTCTAAGTAACCGTTAAGTTGAATCGTAGATTGCAATTCTCTATATTATAGCTATGTTCTTAAAATGAAATCGGATTCCGCAAAATTCGCTTAGCTATTCGGTTAATAAATCAACGTTTTATTTGTGCAAGCTGATAAATTATCTTACGTAATTCTAATATTTTATAACAACTCATTTCATCTATGTGGACAAATATATTTGTTCTGTTAGTTGTCAGTGTTTTACATTTTTTCGTAAAAATTAAGCATTAAAAATTAGAGAATGACATTTTTCTTGCTATATTTGTTGTTTAGCCAGTTACACACAGTTGTTTGAACGTGTTCCATTTGTCTCTGGTCCTCGGATACCCCCTATTCGTGGAGAGATCAATCAAGCTATGTTAGCTCTGTCTTCATCTGGTTTCTTGAGTAAACCACATTTTAAGAACTCCGATAACCCTCCAACAGATTTGTTACCTTGTAATTCAACCAATCATGATCAATCAGAGGGTAGTAGAGTAAATGCAAGTATGGTTGGAAATTCCACAATTGACACTAGTCGTTCATTGTTGTCAGAACCACAGCACCAGTTGTATCAGCAACTTTCAGATTTTTCCGTAAGTTTGATTTTTATCTTCTCAAAATCTTACTACCCATAGTGGTATACCTAAAATTCATGTACACGCTTCTAGAAACTACTTTATTCAGCGTTGTATCCTTGACGTTGTTGAGTGTTTTTCTAAACATTCAGTTTCTGTTTTATTTTCTTTGCAACGTTATCCTAGTATGAAAAATTTTAGTCGTTCGTTCCCGTCTTTCAAATTAGGAATATTTCTCTTTTCTTCAGACATCAGCTTCTAACGCTACAACGTCGGTACCTACTTGTCAAGTTACTGAAGAGGGTTTAAACACCACAAATTCAAGAAGTCTTGCCTATGGCCCTATCAACACATCAGTTCCTGTGAGTGTACCCATGTCTTTGCTAAATAATTCAATCAATAATCTGAGAATTCGAGACAATGCAGAAGCAGACTTTAAATCTGTATTGGACAATCCTAATAATCTTCAACAACACAAACAGGCCATTTCTTCAGCCTCGACATTCATGAACTTAACTTCTTTGATTCCACTGAATTCATCCTTCCCATCTTTTAACTTGCAGTTCCCCTCCAGACTTCAGGGCACTAATGGAACTACTATGGATGATCTTACTTCAGCAGCTAGTTCATTTCTATCTCCAGGTTTTTGGTCTGTTTTGACTCAGTACTTAAACTTGCATCCCCCGTCTGCAAATCAGACTTCTACTCCTATGCAGCAGCTCGCAGAAACAGCGCAATTGGCGGCTCAGCTCGCAGCATTGGTTGGTTCTCATAGTCCGGATCAAACTCCTATGCAGCCATCTCAGGCGTTAGCTTTAGCGCAATTACTGATTACTCGAGTAAGCTATGACCCTTAGGCAGTTATCATGCTTCGTTCTTTTTTATATTTTGCAACCGTGTGATTTTGCTATGCTCTAACTTTGCGTAAGACTTTGAATGATTATTTAATAAAGATAAAATAGATTTATTAAAAGCCGTAATATTTGTAATTCGTTATAGATTACATTAATAAATCCTTTAATTTTAAGGACACACATTTGAAAAAAATAGTTTCAGTCCTAACCTTTACATAAAAGACTTCTCGAGTCACGATACACAGTCCTTGAAAACACATTGTTTCAGAAGGTATTAGTTTGTCAGAGAAACATGTGAATTTGCCGTTGAGTATCGTGTAGCATATTTTTTCATTTAATGTGATATTTCTGGACATTTTTAATGTACCAATTCTCTTTACACTTTTATTACTGCTTTGTTCACCGACGAGGAAAGCTAAACATCAAGTTTTTTAGATTCATAACATGAATTCCTTTCTTCGATAATCTAATACAATTACTGTTTTTGTTATATTTTAGTCTTATTTCGTCTCTTTTTAGGGAGTCGGGTTGGGTAGTTTCAGCGCAGAAGCGCCTTCCTCTAACGGTTTGCTCACTTCTAAGAAGGATAAGCCTTCTGATAACGAATGCATTGCCAGTTCATCGATCTTCCATACTTCGGAAATCAGTGCTGTAAGCGAGCGACATCAAGAATCTCAAACACAATGGCCTTCTCTTGGTTCTACGCTAAATCAAAGTGCACCTCATTGCAGTGAAGGGTAAGGAGCTTACTTTTTTATTATTCAAATCCATCGCATTTAAGTTGGAATTGTCTATTCACTCAATTTTTATGTGAAACCGCTTGTATGCTTTATATTGTGAACTGTAGCAATTTCCCCCAAGTTTTTATCTAGTAAAAAACATTCTTAAATTGTTTTATGATGCATTCCTGGGTTCAACTAAATTATTGTAGTCAGATAATTAAAATAAAATCACATCCACCGTAAACATTGTATTATTCACTTGAAACTAATAGTTTCCCCCTAATAAAAATATGATGTAATTCTATTTATCGAGCTCAGTTTTATCTATTCACAACACTGAGTGAGGATTAGCGGTAATATCCGGCTGTCCAAACCCAAGCGAAAGAAGCGCTGTTCAAACTTTCGATCTACTAGCCAAAAGCTGAGTGTTTTAATAACTAAACTGCTTCTCCATCTAATTGTATTTCATCTTTTGTACTAATTTATACACAGCTTCGCTTTTAATGAATCAGTTATACAAATGTTTCCTGAAAAGCAGTTTTATTCTTCTACTATTGAAGCACGATAATAAGATACGATTTTGAAGAAACCCCGACCGAAGCTGCTACCTTGACGCGGTGGTCGGGCTTGCCTATCGTGATGAACCAACCGAGTTATATTGGCTGGAACATATGTTCCTGTAGGTTCTACCATGCGAGGCAGGTCGATTGGAGAACGGTAAGACTAAAAGCAGCAACTCAAGGTCTGAGGGCGAAGTCGTACTGCTGACTGTAGAGGGATGTGACAGCATTAAGGTGTTTCCCTCGGACAACCAGCATCTGCAGCGATGCTGCCTTCCCACAGGGAGGGGTGGGGTTAGAAAAGGTCGACCCTAAAAATGTCACACCTCACCTTACCTCACGGATTTCCGTCTCCGGCGGTAAGGCCCTTTGAAGAACGGAGCTAACACATTAAAAACCTCCCACAAAAAGGTCTTTCGCGACCGGTCTCAAGCAGTTGTCCCTTGGGTTCTGCGATCATGCTCCCAGGTCGTTAAGGCCAACATTAATCTGAATTCCTTTTCAGGATCCTCAAGAAATACCCTTCCACGGTGTGGGCAGCCGGGAAGTGATATCAGCCCTTATACCCGTAACAGCACACGAGACCAAGTTGGTCACATTCAAATCCTTCCTACACCTACGAATTACTCTCTTATCTCCATGACTAACCCTCCTCACGTATCTCTACCACCTCGTACCGCTAGGGCAAACGATTCAAGTACGCGGAACGCTATTCCTGGTCTCCTGAAATCACGCTCTAAACTTCATGTTGGAGTTTATAATGTGCGAAAAATGTGCCAAATAGGAAAGTAAGCTTCCTTAACTAGGACTTTAGAATCCCGTGCCATCGATATGTGCTGCGTCTCCGAAACGCGCATACAGGATCCGAGTAGCGTCATTCATTTGACCTCACCATGCCAAAATAAAGAACCGACTCGATTCACAGTTCGTGTATCCGGAAGCCCTGATTCTGCTTCCCGTGGCCTCACCGGCGTAGGTATAGCATTGAGTCGTAGGGCAGAACTAGCTCTCTTAGACTGGATCCCAGTAGACAGTCGTTTGTGCGCTGTCCGACTGAACGGAACAGTAAGGATCCGAAAAGATAATGACACTCGTCGTTGCCTTTTCGTCGTCTCTGCCTATTCTCCCACTGACTGCAGCTCATATGATGTGAAAGATGAGTTTTACAGAAGCCTTTCCGACCTTCTCCGAAACGTTAGGCGCTCGGATGTAGTAATAGTGGCCGGTGACTTTAATGCTCAAGTAGGTAAACTAAGCGCTAGGGAAAGACACCTGGGTGTCGTGGTTCAAAGGACAGATAATGGCGACCGTCTATTGTAGTTATGCTCAGATAACCGCCTGTTCCTTGCATATACTAACTTTAAGCATAAGGAAAAACATCTTTTAACATGGCGACCCCCTAATTCGTCTCAGCGTTGGACCCAAATAGATCACATCGCTATCAGCCACCGATGGGAGGGAGAACTTGAAAGAAGACTGTCGCTCATTCTGTAGCACATGCTTAGATTCAGATCATGCTCTAGTACGAGCACGTATCTGTCTGCGTCTTATTGGACGTAGGAAAGACGCTGCAAGGAAACATCTTAGGGTCCTACTTAATGGTAGTCAAGCTAAGAGAATATTTCAGGAACAACTGGGAAAACAGCTAGGCAGCCATGTATGTGATGCCCACCCCAAGGCAGCATGGAATGATATCCGAAAAGCTGTGGAAACAGCAGTGATATCTGCTAGTAAGGTAAACCAAAAGGTTAGGGAGAAACACTGGGTCTCAGCAACATCTATCGCACTGATAGATGCTCGGAAACTCATTCCACCTGGTTCTGAACATAATGAAGAGCGGAGTCAGCTTAGGCGCAAGCTGACAAGAAGTCTACGCAATGATCGTGAACAGTGGTGGGTAGCGAAAGCAAGGGAGATGGAAAAGGCAGCAGCAATAGGTAATAGCAGACAATTGCTCAGAGTTGTTAAGAAAACCGGTATTAGGAACCTGACTGTTAGCGAAACACTCTCAGAGGAAGATGAACATATTATGCATTCTCAATCCAGGAGATGGGATCGATGGGCAGAACACTGTAGGGATCAGTTCAACTGGCCTTCAGCTACACTTCGGTTTCCTACGATCTCCAGTCAACCTGAATGGCAAGTTAATGTAGGTCCTCCAACTCTTTATGAAGTTAAAAAAGCTATAGGAAATCTGAAGCGAAGGATAGCAACAGGCCCTGACAGGTTTACTCCTGAGATTTTTAAGGATGGTGGTCCAGTATTAGCAATGAAATTAACCGAGGTCTTAGGTAGAATTTGGGAACTGGATGTAATCCCATCTGACTGGTCTCAATCACTGATTGTGCCAGCCTATACGAAAGGAGAGAAGTCCTCTTGTGACAATCACAGAGGAATCAGTTTGACAAATATAGTGTCTAAAATATTAGGTTCAATAATACTTCGACGCCTAACTAATGCTCGTGAAGAGCAGACTAGAGAAAACCAGGCTGGTTTTCGACCTGGACGTGGTTGTATAGATCAGATATTCACACTACGTCAGGTTCTAGAACACAGATACACATTCAGACGCCCCACAATGGTAGTATTTCTCGATCTTAAGGTGGCATTCGACTCTGTTGACCGTGAGGTTCTATGGCAGTGTTTGTCACTGAAAGGAGTACCAAAGAAGTACATTAACCTTGTAAAGGCTCTCTACTCGAACACAACTGGTCGTGTGAGAGCTTATGGCGAACTGTCATCAGAATTGATTACCTCATTTGGTGTTCGTCAGGGCTGTCCACTCTCTCCATTCTCGTTTAACTTTGTCATTGACGTACTTTTAGAGATAACACTTTCCTCATCTGACTTTCCAGGGGTTGAACTTCTACCAGGACATTCATTTATTGACTTAGAATATGCTGATGATATAATTTTATTCGGTGAAGACGCTGACAAAATGCAGAGTCTTCTGACCACTCTAAGCAAGAATGCAAGTATGTTCGGGATGCGATTCTACCCCTCAAAATGCAAAATGTTGTTTCAGTATTGGGTTGCATTGACACCCGAACTAATGATAGAGAGTGAGGTAGTTGAGCGTGTCGATCGCTTCACTTATCTTGGAAGTCTCATCAGCCCTTGTGGTCTGGTGTGTGACGAAATCTCAGCACGGATACAGAAGGCTCGACTAGCTTTTTCCAACTTTCGTCATTTATGGCGTAGGCGAGATATTGGTCTATCAATCATAGGACGTGCTTACTGAGCAGCAGTTCGTTCCGTCCTACTTTATGGCAGTGAAACGTGGCCGGTAAGTGTAGAGGATATCCGTAGGTTACTAGTATTTGACCATAGGTGTCTTCGAAACATTGCTCGTATATCCTGGGACCATCGAGTAACGCAGTTGTTAGGAAACGGGTACTAGGTAAGCATGGCAAATCGATTGATAAAGTAGTGAAACTTCATCAGTTGAGATGGCTGGAATATGTGTTATGTATGCCCGACCACCGACTGCCTCGACGCGCTATGTTTTACGGTGTAGGAGTAGGTTGGAAGAAAGCTAGGGGCGGCCAGACCAAAACATGGCACAAGTCCATGAAGTCACTGACAAGTGAACTGAATCATTTTGATAGGTGTAGACTACCTGGTTGGGGACCGCGAGATGATAGCAACCGATGGTTAGAAACTCTGAATGACATGGCTCAAAATCGTTTGCAATGGTGCAAGTGCATCCACTCTTTGTGTTCTCCCAAATTCTAATCTTCTGAATTCTTCATGTCCCTTTCTTTTTTCTCTTTCCAAATTTATTTCACTGTATTATACTCATTGAATAACATCTCCAAACACTAATCTTTCCGATTACTGATTATACTCTTACTAACTCTAGCACTACAGGATTTGAATAAACCACTGCATCTCTGTACTAATGTGGTGTGGCAACTCGAACTGATGTACGTACGTACGAAGTTCTACGTTGTAACTGACTGACTGACTGACTTTGAAGAAATGGCGTTTAGTTACTGCGTAACCTCACAATCACTTATTTGTATGCTATTTATACCTGTGTTATTTGTTTTTATCCTTTTTGTAGGCGATTCAATCCAGCACCACTTAACAAGGTATCTAGTGAGTTATCTTATGGGAAAAACTGTGAGAAAGACTTGTCAGTTAATACTTCTGCTGTCAGTCAAAATATTCATAGCTGTCGTCCAAATTATTTAGACAAGCCTCAATCTACACTTTCAAAGCCATCGACTAGTCCTCGACCAACTAATGTTAAGTCTAAAATCCAACCAGATTCAACATTATCTGAACCTACCCAGTCAATTTCTTTAGATGGATATAACCGAACCCAGCAAAATGGCCGAGGCCCCAAAAATACTGAGGTTTGTTCCGGAGGTTCTGTGCGCAGTACAGAGCAGAAACAGACTGCAATTAGTTCGTCTCGAACAGGGTCAACAAATCAAAGCAGAGTTAAGGTTAGTAAAAAGAAACAATTCAGCTGTTTTCTTTGGTAAATTATCTTTTACACTACTTGTTCTGTGCATACTGTGGCATTCGTTTTTGTTAATTAATGTAATTATTTGTATATCATAGATTGGAGGGCATTGTTATTAGGTGACACTTCATTCAAAATTTAAATTGCTATAATTTCGGGATTAGTTTAGAAGTTGTACAAATAAGTTTTCCTTTGGTATAAATGAACATAGATAAATATACTTGGGTTTTTTGGCTTATACCTTATGTTTGGACCCTCAATTTCCTGTCAAAAGGGATATATTATACATCGTGCTGTTTTCCGATGACTATAATAAGGTAATACTTGTGTAGTCCATTTCTATTTTTGTTGTTAAGCTTTGGATAGTTAGGGTTACTTCCCATGTTTTGAATTCCTATACCTGTTTCTGCATGCAGTCTACAAAGTATCTGTTAGCATTGAGAGTCTTTTAAAGTTTAATAATATTTTTATCTGCCGTTGGTAAAAATCTCTTGATGATAGTACTAAGTATTTCATCGGTTTTTAATACTATAGAAAACTAAATGTTTTTATTTTACTATGGTTGATGATAATTCACTACGTAGTCAGTTTAGACCCCAAGTCTCATTTCCGTTTGTCCTAATTCCATTATGACAGTTTTCTTTTGTTTTCGTATTCCAATTGGTCTCATGTTTCCATACGAAAAATATTCCTTATGTAACTAAATAATACTTGTATTTGGGGGGATGTTATTTCTTTTGGTAAGACCAAACGGTCAGCTAGCTAGTGAGGATTTGGAATGTAGCAGTTTTGGATTCTAAATAAATACACTCTATGTCTACTATACACATTTGAGCTGCTCGTAATAACAGTGAAAATCTCAAAAATCGAAATGTCACTCACTGATTCATTTCGTCATATTAACCACTGTTTTCGTCAACTTCTAATTATGAAAACATATCTTCGATTTATTTAATTCTCTTCAAAATTTGTATTTGGGGATATGTGAAGACTATAGAATTTTGATAGTTTAAATCAAGAACTAATCTTAAATAAACTACCATTGAAAACATGATGGCACAGGACGACTGTTTTGTCGTAGAATGGAACTCTTTAACAGTGCACATGCACAACCCCGCATCCGAAAATAGGAAATTTGTTTGAATTTATCAGCTCTATAACTGCATAGCAAATAATTGTGTTGTTATTATTTGGAAATTTGTCACAGTCCAGTAGTGCTGTTTGATGTTAATTACTTGGTTTAATTTTTAAACATCATTTCTTTTTGGTAAATTTCAATGTATGCTGTAACTTGGAAGATTGGTTTTGTCGTTTTCATACAGGTGTGAGTTCTGTGAAAATATTTAAATCTCGAATGTATCATCTTTTTGATGTGATGTACTTGATGATCTCAGATATAGTATAATCTTCCCTACCCATCGTTGTTTATTGTTTTTTTGTCGTCTTAGTTTTTGTTTTGCATCTTTGACTATTATGGTCCATCAGTATGCTTACTATTTTAACGTTAATCATTTTGTAAATGTTTTTGTAAAACTAAATCGATCAACGTTTATATGCATACATTGTCTATAATTATTTTAAAACAAACTATGTTAACTGGTACTTGATCTAGTATCAGGTGTCTTTTCTATTTTGAAATCCCATCAACCGCTGGTTTCGAAATCTCACATTGCTTTCTGAAATAGTTGAGCAATAGATGTACATACTTGTTTCCTCTTTCAGACATCAACATAATGATGTAGATCTCTCATTCTTTTGAAAACTCCCTTTTAAGATTATTTTTTTCGAATAAACATACTGTTATACTGTATTAGTCTTTCAAGCATTATGAACTTTTCAACTCGCAATATAAATGCGAAACATATTTGTAGACAAACTTTAAACGAACATTCTGCTCTAATTTTTTCCATACTGTCTTTAAATATTCATACTTTTAGGGGTCTAAATCAAATAACGTCCGGTCACCTACAAAGGCAGTCGTTCAGAATAATTCCTTGTCATCCCAGGTATCCTCTAGTGTGAATATACGTCCTACGGAAGCAGCTTGCACCTCAGTTGCATCAAATTCGGAAACAGATCCTGACCAGACAGTTGAGGATGAACTCAAAAAGCTTACTCAGTGGTGTCAATCGAGGCTTGGTTCAATGCCGATGCGTGAAAAGGTGGATATTCCTACTGTTGTTGAGTTACTGGCTACACTAGATGCCCCATACGAAGTAAGGCATATTTTGATAGTCTTTACATATTTTGCCATATCTTTTTCCATTCCTGTGTATTATACGCGATTCCCGACCGTTGCTGCTACCTTGACGCACTGGTCGGGCTTGCCTATCGTGATGAAGCGATCGAGCTATACTGGCTGGAACAACCGTTCCTCAAGGTCCTACCATGTCAGACAGGTCGGTTGAAGAGTGGTAAGACTAAAAGCAACAAACCCAAGGTCCGAAGGCGAAGTCGTACTGCTGACAGTACAGAGATGTGACAGCAGTAAGGTGTTTCCTTCAGGCAACCAGCATGACAGAGATGCTGCCGTCCCACAAGGAGGAGTGGGGTTAGAAAACGTCGACATTAAAAATGAACATCTCGCCTTATCCCATGGATATCCGTCTCCATCGGTAGAGTTTCAACAAGTACGGAGCTAACACGAAAATTACCCAGAAAAAGGTCGTGTGTGACCGACCTCAAGTAGTTGTCCCTTGGGCACTGCGGTAACTCTCTCAGGTCACTAAAACCACCTCTAATCCAATTTCCTTTTCAGGTACCTCCAGAAGAACCCTTCTACAATGTGAGCAACCGGGAAGTTATAACTGCCTCCATACCTCTAACAGCACTCATCACTGTATTCATAGTTAATCTCCCTCTTCAATTCCTATTGTTCCTCGTATGTCAACGTTCAACTCTAAGCTTTCTCTTTTGACTTCCTCCTCAAGTGTCACTATGGACAAGGATTCTAGTGCGCGAAATACTGTCTCAGGTCTACTGAATACTAGCTCCAAACTACACATTGAAGCCTTCAACGTACGCACCCTATGTCCAACTGGCCAACAGGCCTCCTTGACTAAAAACCCTAGAATCTCGTACCATTAATGTATGCTGTTTCTCTAAAACACACATACAGGATCCTAGTGTAGTCATTCACTTTACCTCACCTTGTCAAAACGGAGAGTCGACGACATACACTCTCCGTGTATCTGGCGACCCGATGGCTAGTTCTCGTGGACTGTCAGGTTTAGGCATGGCACTAAGTACGGGGGCAGAACAAGCACTATTAGAATGGATCCCCGTTAACAGTCGCTTATGTGTTGTTCGGCTAAACGGATCCGTAAGAACTCGTAAGGATAAGGACACACGTCGTTGCCTTTTCATCGTTTCTGCGTACGCTCCCACTGACTGCAGCCCGGATGAAGTGAAAGATGACTTACAAAAAGTTTTCTTAACCTCTTCAGAAAGCTAAACACTGAGATGTAGTACTCGTATCAAGTGACTTTAATGTCTAGGTAGGTAGCTTAAACCAAGCCGAAAGACCTTTAGGTGGGCATTTTGGTATTCCGGCTCAGAGAACTGATAATGTTGACCGTCTGCTGCAACTGTGTTCAGACAATTGTTTATTTCCAACAACCACTAATTTTAAGCATAAGGAGAGACATCGTCTTACATGGCGGTCGCCTGCCCTAAACCAACGATGGACTCAAATAGATCATATTGCCATTGGTCATCGTTAGAGATGCTCAGTAGAAGACTGTCGCTCTTCCTGGAATACCCATTTAGACTCCCATCATGCTTTAATACGAGCATGCATGTGCTTGCACCTCTCTGGATGCAGGAAAATCACATTAAGAAGACACATTAGAGTTGAACTCAGTGGCGCGAAAGCCAGACGTAAATTCCAGGGACAACTGAAGCCACGCTTAAGCGATTTGGAAAACAAGGCTGACCCAGATGTTGCTTGAAAGGATATACAAACAGCTGTGGAAATAGCAGCGACATCTATTAGGGATTTGAACCAAAGGGTCACGTAAAACTAGTGGATTTCTACTAGGTATTGCACTGATAGATTCTCATAAACTCATCAGGCTCTGAAGAAGATGAAGAGCGAAAACAAACAAAAGTTTAAGAAACCATTCGCAGACAGCCTGAATGGCATATTGAAGTAGGTCCTCCGACTTCACTGAAGTTCAAAAGCCTATAGCTATTCTGAAACGCGAAAGAGCAGCTGCTCCAGAAGGACTAACTACACAGGTCTTTAAGAACGGTGGTCCAATTTTAGCGATTAGGCTGACTAATATTTCAGTTAAAATCCGGGAGTTAGACCTAATCCCATCTGACTGGTTACAATCACTGATGGTCCCAATATATAAGAAGGGGTCAAAATCATCCTGTGACAACCATAGAGGGGTTGGTTTGACTAACATAGCATCCAAAATACTAGCCTCATTAATTATCGGCTGCGTTACAAAGACCCGTGGACTGCAAAATCAGGCTGGTTTCAAACCTGGTCGTGGTTGCATCGACCACATATTCACCATTCGTCAGGTTCTAGAACACAGACATGTTTATCGGCATCCAACAATGGTGGTCTTTCTTGACTTAATAGCAGCATATGACTCTGTAGCCCAGGGGGTGCTGTGGCAGTGACTGTCATTGAAATGTGTTCCTCAGAAGTGCTTAAACCTTGCGAGGGCTCTTCACTCGAACACTACCAGTCGAGTCAGAGCTTATGGCGAACTGTCATTTAATTTTGCAACGTCAAGTGGTGTCCGAAAAGACTGTTTATTATCTCCATTTTTGTTTAATTTCGTCATGGACTTAGTGATGGATGCAACGTTTTCGTCGACTGAATTATCGGGGATTGATCTCCTTGCAGGAGGTGGACTTATCGACTTAGAATACGCAGATGACATAGTCCTGTTTGGTGAGAACACTGATAAAATTTAGTATTTTGTTAGCACTGAGCAGCAGTGCCAGGATGTTTGGGATGCGTTTCTCTTCCTCTAAATGCAAATTGTTGCTTCAGGTTTGGCCTGCGTCATTATTATTCCTTGGTAGTCTATTTAAGAATAGTAGTTTGATTAGTTTATACTTGACTAGATTTGGGCTTGTATACTGTCTACGCGTCCGCGGCAAGTGAAATATATTTCCGAATCTTGGTAAATGCAGACTACTTGGTTGGGGTCTGCGTGACCATTATTAGTGAATGACGGTAAATAAGTTGATGTGGTTGTAAATCTACATCGACTGAAATGGTTGGTTCACATGATACGCATGCCCAACCACCGACTACCACAGCGCGTAATGATGACTAGTGTTGGGGACGGATGGAGGAATGTTAGGGGGCTGCCAAACCAAAACGTGATATTAATCCGTAAAGTCACCAACTCCTGACCCGAGCCATGTTGGTAGATGCAATCTACTTGGTTGGGGTCGTAACCAATGGTTGGAGACTCTGGGTGACATGGCTCAGAATCGATTACTCTGGCATTGGTGTATACACTCTTTATCTTCCCTTAAACCGTGACGCGGTAAAAGTGAAGTGTTTGACTTTCTCCACATCTGACTCGTAGCTTGTCCTGTGGGTCTCGATATTGACTGGCTATTGTTGACCTTTAACCCGTTATTGTTTACTCTGTTTTGATTGTATCACCATAAAATGTAAAATTATTATACAAGATCAAGCTAAAAGTGATTTTTGATTGTCGGCCTAAAAGTATTTTGGCTAAAGTATTATTTTTGATTGTTTCATTCCACAAGGACTTTATTAATCTCTAAAATGTTACGACCTACATAGTTACCAACTTAACGTTCTTTTTCTTCATTCTGAAAATGTATTTGGCTATAAATAAAAACACTATCAATTGCTGTCAAATTATGCTATTCATCCAAACACTATATGTATTTATATATGGCACATTCCTTAGTTAACATAAAAATAGTATTAACCACATGGTTCAAATTTAGGTTACTTGGATTCAAAACTGAAATCAATAATTTATTCACTGTTACGTGTGTATATTTATCAGAAAACTTATCCAAAATAATTCTGTGACTGGAGTTTCTCGGTATATATATTTTTAAAATATTTATGTACGTGTATGTTTTAGACAGCGTTATTTTTTGTCTACACCATTGAATCTAATTGTTTATATACCAAATCTAAATAGGTTGAACGAATGGTCCAGACCTTTTTGGGAGAAACAGCTCGTACAGCTCAATTTGTGAAAGATTTTCTTGATCGTCGTCGGCCATTTTGGCAGTTGCATAGGAAACGACGGGAACAAGAGAATACAATCCAAGAATCATCAGGTCAAAATTCTAATCAACCCACAAGTACAGTCCGGTCAACTGAGAAAAAGAAACGTACTAACCCGAATGATACCGCCACTAATAATACACAGCGCCAGAATTCAAGCATTTGCAATGGACTGAGTTGGAATAAATCAGATTCTACTCACTTATCTAACATTGAACAAATTCAGGACAACCAGGTTGGAATTCTAAGTATCTAAGTTTTTGCAGTTCTTCAACTGATCTGTAGTTTTTTTCACTCATCCAAATTTTGGTTCCTTCCCAGAAGATTAGCACTGTTTTTGTTGGTTGAAACTCAGAATCAAACCACTTCCGAACTTTTGTTAAAATTAAGCATTTTACTTGTGGAAATGAAAATCAGCTAATGCTTGTTACGACGGCTGATAGGATATTGGTCATTTGTTTTCGTCATATGGGCTGAGTTAAGATAATCGAACTGAAATTAAGAAATTATCTCAAATTTCTTATTTACTATTACTCTGGATATTAAGTAGCTTGTGACAAACAAAGTCATCGTTTGAGGAGCATTACATTCACTTATTCGGATGCAGTCATGTTACATTTTGGTAAATACTATTATTGGTTTGAAATAACGAAACCTGTAAACTACATTCTTTTTACGCTGTCCTAGTGCCCTTCTACTGTGGAATTTGCCTGTAAGGGAACAACAGTCCACAATATTTTCAAAATTGAAATAGAAATATTTAAAGCTTATTGCAAGTGAAATAACTAGTTGTCTCTTATCGATTGGTTAATCAATCATATTCATATAATCAATTCTGTGACGTTAGTCCTGATTTTTGGTAACAACATTGTACTTCCCCTCTGTTTTTGTCTAGATATGTACAATTAAATAGTGTAGTCTAGGCGGTAAACAGGAAATATAACTCCCCTATCTCGGAAATTATAGTGTGAAATGCCTCAAATGCACTTCGTGTAATCACTAGACAGATTGCCTTCTTAATACATACATCTTTAGTACCGTCAATACTTTTTGAAATAATGACGTATGTTGGCGAGGTATTTTTCTAAATCATTTGGAAAATCGATGGGCCCATTGGTACTATTCAGATATACTACTGTGAATCTCTTGCAGTAGAAGTATAAAGGAAGGAACATTTGATACGATACTTATTTCTTATGAGTTTTGTTCATAGTGGATGGTGCTTGTAGTATACTGACAGTTCAGTTTCGTTAGACATGTTTTTAACTGAAGTCTCGTATTTATTTGTGTAGAACGTTTTCGGGTGTATTTTTGTAACCTTTTGCCCGTTTGTTGCTACTCATGGATACACTGTCTCATTACACTTCTATCTTTCTTCAGTGGCATCACATCAAACCTAAAGGAAGTCATAATCGTAAAAGCAAAAAAGACAAATCTACGTGAAAATGTGTACACCCTTTTCCACTTTTCTTTCAACACAACTGAGCAACTAGCATCCCCATGTTCTTTTGATTCTATCGCTTATCTCAATCGCCTATTACTTTTTTTATTGGGTGCTGTTATAAGGAATGTAAATTGTCTACTTTTTTCTTCTTGAAACTTTTATTCATTCTCTAATGTTATACTTTCTAGTGACATTTGTCTTTTTTAAATTGCTTATGATAATCGTGACATAATGGCGTTTTATGTGCCGTCGTAATATTTGAGTTTTAGCTGGCTGTAATTTCTCTTTGATATATTTTCAAAGCTGGTGTTTGTGTGCGGTTTCCTTGAATATTATTTTATTTGACAGATGAATATGTGTATATATCACAATAATGGTTGCAATGCATACTTATTTTCAAAATTCGGTTTTACCTCCAGTCTAAGTATTATATTATATATAAAATACTGCACCATAATTTATGAGCTAAGCTTATTTGTGTTAACCTGTCTACTCGTACACTCTTTCAAGTTTAAAATATTGAATCAACCATCGTTTCTGTACCATCGTCATTTTAGAAGCATCTGGATTCTCAAATGAAACTACCGTAAAATAAAACAGTCTTTAATTTGTAAGCGGCGAGATGTGATTGTGTAAGTAAACTTCAAACAACATAAAAAGTGACCATCTACCTTACGTTTAAATTCATGAATTTGTACCATTCACGAAACTTAGAGGATTTTTCACCTGGCATTTTATCTGAAGATAAATTATGTTTATTTCTTTACGTATCTGACAACCGTTTACTTCAAATGAGAACTGGAAATAATAAAGCTGCTCAACATAATGAATCATTTACACCTTAGTTGATACCTTTTATTATCTTCTGTAAGTGCATTTTGATGATAGCTGTGATCCTACGATTCATAGGACATAAGTGAAATTTACAATATTATTTTATTCGATTACAATTTGTTGCTTCTTGGCTCAAGACGATAATCACAAGATCATTCAAATAATTATTACGTCTATTCGCACAGCTTACAAAGTTTTGCTGCTTCTTAAAAGATAAATTCCATATATATGTGCTAGTGAGAACTTCACTCTTATGATTTTCTCATGTAGATGATGACACCTGAATTATTTGTTTAGTCTTCATTAGGTTAATTAACATTAAAATCTCACCGATTTGTCGTTTACACTTTTTCGACGAAAAGTAATTCGTAGAATTATTTATATTCCACAGATTCATTTATTTATTTTAAATGTTAGGAATCACTATTCAGAATAACTCATTACCTGTTCATCAAACGTAGGAATCATTTCGTGAATACCTATTCGTTTATGTCAATGCATCATTGCTTCCTTCGGCAGTGTTAGCTTCTAGAAGTTTATTTTTTTTGTGTGGAATTAGATCGTATGAGAGTCATCTGAGCCTAACGATGTGTCTAATAATTTGTTATAACCAGATGACATTGACTTGCTCATGATTTTGCTTGGAATGTTTATAGCATATTAGCCATTCATGTTAAAAGAAGTCATAACTAGTCGTTATTTTAATGTTTAAGATAAAATACTTCTGGAACATTACTGAAAGGGGAGTATATATGTTAATCAATTAGATATTTAGCGTAACTTGTCTTCTCAATTGTTAGGAAACGGGTACTAAATAAGGATGGCAAATCAATTGATGAATTGGTGAAACTTCATCGATTGAGATGGCTGGGGCACGTGTTACGTATGTCCAACCACCGACTTGCGATGTTCAACGGTGTAGGACTAGGTTGGAAGAAAGCTAGGGGTGGCCAAACCAAAACATGGCACAAATCCATGAAGTTACTGACAAATGGATTGAGCCATGTTGGTAGGTGTAGACTACCTAGTTGGGGATCGCGAGTTGATAGCAACCGATGGTTAGTGTTATAACTGTGAGACTGCAGCAGATTTGAGGGTAGCGAATTTGTCGATCGGACCAAAGACGCGCAAACACGTAGAACGGCTTATAGTTCTGATTGATCCCACTTCCCTGTCTAGCCCAGCCCGTTGAGTCCAGAACACAAGTCTCAGCCTCGGATATATGAATCATCATATTTCAAACACACTGTTTATATACTAACCACATCGTACCATAAAATAGAAAATAACATTGTTCAGTATTGACCAGTAGGAAAATAACACGTGAAATAAGTACTGACCAGTAAGAAAATAATACCATCTCCAAGTCCATGAATAGCATTAGCCTTAATAGAATAATTTTTGGGATATTTTCCTGAATATCCCAACAGTTAGAGAGCCTGAATGACATGGCTCAAAATCGTTTGCAATGGCGCAAGTGCATTGACTCTTTGTGTTCTCCCAAATTCTAATCTTCTGAATTCATCATGTCCCTTTCTTTTTTCTCTTTCCAAATTCATTTCACTGTATTATACTCCTTGAATAACATCTTCAAACCCTAATCTTTCCGATTACTGATTATACTCTTACTAACTCTAGCACTACGGGATTTGAATAAACCACTGCATCTCTGTGCTAATGTGGTGTGGCAACTCGAACTGATGTACGTACGTACGAAGTTCTACGTTGTAACTGACTGACTGACTCTAGACTGTTAGCACAACATATATTTTGCGGTTTGTGTAGAATATTACTTCATAAATGAATAGTAACTCTAATAAGTGGTGAATAAATTCGACATAGGGTCCCTCTTCTATTGATTAAACTATTCATCCCATTAAAGAGTTAAAGTTTTCTCATGAACTGTTTACTTCACCATACTTACTTACTTGCTCTTGTTAGCTCTCGTGCTTCTAGCTGCCATTCATTCTTTCCTGTCTGCTTCCAGTTCCCGACGTAGTGTGTCCTTTTGCCTTTCCCTTTATTCAGATGGTTTTTTAAAGTCGTAACGAGATAGAAGTAACGATCGTTTCATTCAGATGGGGTAGGTAGGTAGGTAGTATCTTGATTTATTGACTGCATTTGAAGTCACTTTCGCTTTATGATATTTGTCTCAGCAGTTGTGGTGTAATTATGGATGACCAAAAATATTAAAAACTAACAGTTTAAGGTGCCGCAATTCACCATAATGTACCATACTTTTTATCAGGGACTGGTCAATGTACACCTTTTTGTTTCAGAAATGCTGCAACATTATATCATTCAAGTTTGTAAGAAGGTAATTGACAGTAGTATATGCCTGTGGTTATTGGGTAAAGATTTTTACTTGTTTTATTAGTCTTCTCAAGGAATCCATGTCTCGGTGCATACTGCTTTTTGACAAGCTATTCACTTTAGTGTGCCATAAAATTATTTGCCGAATTCATTAGTTTCAAGTATTAAGACATACCATTTTGTACGTTTATGAATAAAGTTTCACAGGCAGTTGCACTTGAATGTTAATGATTACACCGTTACATACATCATTATTTGAGTCGTAATAAGGTGAGAATAAAGCGGCGGGTTCAGTGATTCTTAGCAAAACTTAAGTTAATTCTCTTTGAGGAGTGTCAGTCAGTCAGCTACAACGTAGGACCAGGCACATTTATGCATCGGTCCAAGTTGCCGTACCTCATTAACACAACAAGATGAACACCGGATTCATAAAAGTAGTTAATTCAGAGGTACTTACTTACTTACGCCTGTTACTCCTCGCGAAGAAGCATAGGTCGCTCACCAGCATTCTCCATCCAACCCTGTCCTGGGCAATCCTTTCCAGTTCCTATTCATCCTTTTCATATCTGCTTCTATTATCCGACGTAATGTGTTCTTAGGCCTTCCTCTTTTCTGTTTCCCTTCAGGATTCCAAGTTAGGGCTTGCCTCGTGATGCAGTTTGACGATTTGCGTAATGTATGTCCTATCTATTTCCATTGTCTTTTCCTAATTTCTTCAACTGGAAGCTGATTTGTTCTCTCCTACAAAAGGCTGTTGCTGATGCTATCCGGCCAATGGATGTTGAGTATCTTGCGAAGACAGCTATTTATAAATACTTGTACCTTCTTAATGGTGGTTGTTGTAGTTCTCCAAGTTTCAGCTCCATACAGTAGAACTGCCTTGACGTTGGTATTGAAGATTCTCACTTTGATATTGGTTGAAAGTTGTTTTGAGTTCCATATGTTCTTTAACTGTAGGAATGCTGTCCTTGCTTTGCCAATCCTTGCCTTTACGTCTGCATCTGAACCTCCTTGTTCATCGATGATGCTTCCTAGGTATGTGAAGGACTCTACATCTTCCAGAGTTTCGCCATCAAGAGTGATTGGATTGATGTTCTCCGTTTTGAAATTTGAGGACCTTGGTTTTCCCCTTGTGTATGCTGAGGCCTACTGATGCAGAGACTGATGCCACACTGGCTCTCTTTGTCTGCATCTGTTCGTGTGTATGTGATAGGAGGGCTAGGTCATCTGCGAAGTGCAAATCGTCTAATTGATTTCGAGCTGTCCATTGTATTCCTTCAGATGTCGAGGTCCTCATAATCCAGTCGACCACCAGGAGAAAAAGGAAGGGAAAGAGTAAACAGCCTTGTCTTACTCCGGCACTTACTTGGAATGCATCTGTCAGCTGTCTTCCATGCACGACTTTGCATTGTTGTCCGTCGTATGAGTTCCGGATAATACTAACAATCTTCTCAGGAACTCCGTAGTGTCGTAGAATTTTCCATAAAGTCCTCCTATCCACGCTGTCAAATGCCTTTTCATAATCAATGAAGTTGATGTATAGTGACGAGTTCCACTCAATTAATTGTTCGACGATGATCCGTAGTGTTGCAATTTGGTCTGTGCATGATCGATCCTTACGGAATCCAGCTTGTTGATCTCGAAGTTGGGCGTCTACTGCATCTTTCATCCCGTTCAGCAACACTCCGTTAAAGACCTTCCCTGGTATTGACAGCAGTGTGATGCCTCTGCAGTTTTCACATTTGCTCAGATCTCCTTTCTTCGGAATCTTGACGAGGTGCCCTTCTTTTCCGCCTGTAGCTCTTCTAGCGTTACTGCCGGTTCGAAGCCCGGGTAAAGGAGGAGGGTTGGGCATGGGGTAGAAAACTATCTCGCTAAAAAACGCTTACCATAAAAAATAATTCAGAGGTGGCAATATGTAAAAGAAAGATTGCAATAAGGATATAGTACAGGAAGAAAGAATTAGTTTGTAGAAAGAAAGATATGAAGCGATTTTAATCTCTTAGTTTAAGGGAAGGCAGAGAGTGTATACACCTACGCCATTGTGATCGATTCTGAGCCATGTCTCCAAGAGTCTCCAACCATTGGTTACGATAGTCACGCGGACCCCAACTAAGTCTTCTGCATCTACCAACATTGCTCAGACTAGAAGTAAGTGACTTCAAGCACTGATACCACGTTTTGGTTTGGTCGCCCCTAATTTTCTTCCAACCATCCCGAACACCGGTTAGCATTGCACGTCGTGGTAATCGGTGATGAACATTGTTTGATTACAATAAATGATGAACTGAATGCTACTCAAGACAACATCGCAAATCGCCAGGTGTCTCATATAACATGATATTTCACCCCATATTTGTACTCGAGACCCTGCAAACCACTTGACGAAAATGAGTAAACTCGATAGTTACTATATATTGATTTATGACAGCTCCTCTAAT